CTCTGATGGCTTACTGTTAAGGAGCTGCGCTGCCAACACAGAGGTGCTTTGAATCTACCAGCAGCTCCACAGAAGAAATACGGGCAGTATCCTCCTTCGCACTTTCCTGCCTTTGAAAACCTGCTGGAGGGTCAGGTAGGGGTCAGTTCCAACTCAGTGGTACACAGTCACAGCAGCAACAAGGATTCAATGATCAGAGATGGCAGCTCATTTGTTCCATCAAGTTGGGACCAATTCGTAAGCAACCCTTCAATGGGTTTCTGGGATGGAAATCGCACAGGAGAGTGGCCAAGCCTCTGGAGCTGCTGGTGGATTTGAACCGCCAGAAAGATTAGCCTTTGGGTTAGTAACACAACTCCCCAGGTACTAGGCCACCAGAGCACTGCATTAGACAAACTGGTAAAGAAAAACAGAAGTTAAAATCTAGTCTTTCGTTCTGGTAGAGGTTTTGGTGTTATTTTTCAAATGTTGAATTTAGAAGTTATATCTAGGGAGCTCTGGTGGCCTAGTGGCAAGATGCTGCACTGTAATCCCAGAGGTGAGGCAGTTCGAATCTGCCAGATGTTCTGCTGGAGATGGAGGGACAATCTCCTCCTATATCAGTCAGATCTTATTTGACAGTACACACACACACAAGAAAATTTAAAAAAGAAGTTATCTCTGCAAATGGAAAATGGCAAAAATTATACATACACACATATTTATTCCTATTCGCCTTTCTTCTTATATGAGATTTTGTATTAGATGCTGTCAGGTCATGTACAACGTATAGTAACCATGTGGATCTGGCCCTGTCCTATCCTGTCCCTCCTTCGTCGTCTCTGACACACTCAAGTCCACTGCTGCAGTCATGGTGTAAGTCATGGTACCCTCATTAAGGGTCTTCCTCTCTTTTGCTGACCCTCGCCTTTCCAAGCATGACACATACAAGGAAACATATCCTATATGCTACTCATATAGCTTTTTAAATACTTCTTCTAATGCTTGTACTTGCTCAACTAGCTAGTGGTAAAACAACAGAGGTTTAGAACTAAGTGCTGCCATTTGTATTTGTGAATTACTGTCACAACGACACTGTGTAACAGACTGCCTTAAATTGAGTAGCTTATAACAACATACATTTATTTTCATATCCCATAATTTGCAGATTAACTGGTCGGGGTTGGCTGGGGGCCTACTTTTGGCTGAAGTTATTGCTCAGGACTGCTTCACATGTGTTCATTCTGAGGTCCAGACTTGAGGGCTGGAGCTACCTCAAGCTTGTGTTTCTTATGGTAATCACCAAAGTAAGGTCAAGAGAAACTCTACAAACACATTTAAGGTCTCTGCTTGTCTCACATCTGCTAATAATCCGCAGGCAAAATGTTAGTCACTCGGCCTAACCCTAAAGCATTGGGCAGAGAAGCATCTTTGGCCAATGGGGGAAAAAAAGGGGCAGGAATGACTAAACCAATGTGAGGCAGTAGGTGGTACACTATCCGCCGCTTTTCCTTTCCTCTCCTGTGATAATCATTTTGTATATCATTCCCTGTGGTCTTTGCTCCTGCACAGACTTAAGTCCTTCAGTGACTTTTGCAGAGAATGACTACATCAACATAAGTTCAAGGAAATGAATGACAACTGAGGTTGAGGGATGTTCAAATATTCATTTAAGTACTTCTCCATACTGAGGTCTATTTTTAATATTTTGACCTTGTTCTATTTTCAAAATAAAACTGAAAGTCAAGGAAAAGGGTGCATGTGTGTGTGTGCACGCACATGTATGTGCTCAATATGACCCAAGAAGACTTATGATGCTTAGAAATAGGAAACAATGTTAGGAGACAAATTTTGAGAATTGTTGCTGTTAGTTGTTAGGGGCTGCCGAGAGTGCCCCATAGTGACTCTACGAATAGAAGATCTGAACCCTGTACCACCCTGTGCTATCCTCACACTTCCTGACACACAAGAGCCTACTGTGACAATCACTGTGGCAATCCACTTGTTTGAGGGTCTACCTCTCTTTAGGCGACCCTCCATCTTTCCAACCCTGATGTTCGTCTCCAAGGGATAGCCTCTCCAAGCAACGTGCCCAAAGCATCTTCGCCTACGAGGAACACTCTGGCTGCACATTCTCCAAAACATATTTGCTTGTTCTTTTGACCATCCATGGGCTATTCGGTGCTCTTTTCCAACATAAACAGCTCAAAGGCATCAATTCACCTTCAGTCATTCTTATTCATTATCCAGTTCTCAGGTTCATAATAAATGATTGAACAGATCATGGCTTTAATAAGGTGCACCTTGGTTCTTAAACTGACAGCACTGCTCCTCAATGATTTGGAGAGGTCCCTGACAGACTTTCCCAGTGCACTACCTCTCTTGATTTCCTGACTGCTGGTACCAACGGTGTTAACTGTGGATTCAAGCAAGAAGAAATCATTGACAACTTCCACCTTTTCTCCATATATCACGATGTTTCAGCAAGCAGGGTTGTGTCAACTGCATAACGCAGGTTGTTGATGATTCTTCCACCAATCCTGATTCCACATTCCTCTTCGTATAGCCCAGCGTCTCGGATGATCTGTTCTGCATACAGATTGAAAAAGTGTGGAGACAGAATACATCCCTGATGGACCCCCTTCTTGATTTTGAACCATGTAGTGTCTCCTTGCTCTGTTCTGACGGCTACCTCTTGGTCCAAGTATAGGTTTTGCATTAGCACAATCAAATGTTCTGGGATTCCCATTCTTCTTAGAGTCAGCCACAGCTTGTTGTGATCCACACAGTCAAAAG